TTTTTTTTATTATTATCTGGCAACCAAATTATATTGTTGGGTTTTTATAAGACATGCCACATTAGAAAATTCATCTTGCAATCTTTCAAGCGACATATTCATATAAAAAAAATTGAATATCTTGATCATAGAAGAATAAAAACAAAGTTTTTTCTTATGCACATGTATCATCTATATTCTTCACATAATAATTCTTGATGAATCAATTAGACTGATAAATCATACCTCATTTTGTTCTTCTCGTCCTGAACTTCAAATACCTAAATCACTTTTTAAAGTTCGATTCAAATTTTATGATTAATCTCGTGAGGCAAATTGTGAATTTTGTGTACTATGAGAGATAATTTTTTCAATTTTAAAAATTTATGTGACAACATAAAAAAAAAAAGCACAAACTTTGAGAGTATTGACCATAATAATCATCAACACACCTGAGCGAGAGTGATAGAATGACCTTATTTGGGTCTAAATCCTCCTTCGATGGTGGGATTTGGTATGTGATATAATTTGTGTTGTTGTAAGGTCCAGTTGTAACAAAATTAATGCTCATTTTCTAGAAACTAATATTAATACTTATTAGTTGTTAGTTGGTTGATATTAGGTATTTGTTAGTAGAAATAAGTTAGTTGTTAAGGATAATTAATGATGTCTTAGTATATATATATGTGTGTGTATCATGCGTGAATGTGCAGAGTGGAGAAAGCAAGAGAAAATATTGAGTGTTGTGCGTGTAGTGGCTGTGTGTGATAAGAAAGAAAAAGAGTGAATTTTATATTGTGTGGTGAGTGAGAAAATATAATAAACAAGTGAGGTATTTGTTGTGGTGTGAGTGTTTACATATAAACATTAGTGAGTTGTGAGAGTAATACATGTGTAATAATTTATAATAAAATCAATTTGTTGTATTACTCTTGAGTGTATTGGTTCATTTATTTCCAACACGTGGTATCAGAGCCACGTCTGGAAAGTTCACGCTCGTGCCAATTTATTCAGGGCTCGTCACTATCCGTCAACTAGCGGAGATTATTGAGTTCAAAGGCATCGTGCACAATTAAAAGAAATTGTGAAGCGCGTCAGGCTTGCTTGGTTACGAGGAGGTAGTCCAAGTCACGATGGCGGATCTACAATCTGTAGGCGGAATGGAGAAACTCAATAATCAAAATTATACCACATGGAGGACATGCATGGAGTCGTATCTCCAAGGCCAAGACCTGTGGGAAATTGTTGGTGGAGAAGAGGTCACACCACCTGAAGAAGTCGGGGCCTTACGCAAATGGAAGATAAAGGCGGGAAAGGCCATGTACGCACTCAAGACGACTATTGACAAAGAGCTGTTGGAGCACATACGGGACGCAAGCACTCCACAACAAGCGTGGGACACTCTGGGAGTATTATTTTCAAAAAAGAATGAGTTCAAGCTGCAACTTCTCGAGAACGAGCTCCTATCACTCAAACAAGGGGAGATGACGGTACGCGACTACTTTAACAAGGTACGAACTCTTTGTCGCGAAATCTCTGAATTGGACCCCACTGATAATGTTTCAGAAGCTAAGATGAGAAGAATTATTATTCATGGCTTAAGACCCGAATTTAGAGGGATCATAGCCGCTATACAAGGTTGGTCTGAGCAGCCTTCTTTGGTAAATCTTGAAAATATTCTAGCCGACCAAGAAACGCTGACCAGACAAATGGCGGAAGTCTCATTAAAGAAAGAAGATGAAGCTTTATTTAGTTATAAAAAGAATATGAGACCACGCCAAAATAAAAGAGACAAAAAGGAATATATTAAAAAGGAAGAAAGAAGCTCTGAAACAAAGGGGGTCCAACAAGACCGTTATAAAAAATATCAGAAGTCCAAAGGAAATAAAAAGGGCCCGTGCTACGTATGTGGCAAGCCGAATCACTATGCCAGAGATTGCTGGCATAGGAAAAAGGTTGCTGAAGGGAATATAGCAACGTCAAACAACCATGAGACTAACAATAGTGAAGAAGATTGGGACATAGAGGCATCCATGGCGATAGTCGAGGAGATCGTCCCAACTGTATCTGAGGAGGCCCGTAAAGAAGAGCAATCAAGCTTAAACGAAGAAACGGCATTGGCTGCCGTTGTCCCTAGACGAATAGATTATGAGAATGATTGGATTGTGGACTCGGGATGCTCCAATCATATGACAGGAGATAAAGAAAAGTTACAGAACACAACTGCATACAAAGGAGGCCGGATGGTTGTCACTGCTAACAATTCAAGGTTGCCAATAGCCCATATTGGCAAGACGGTCATCACTCCACGGTTTAGTCCTGGTCAAGTGCAACTGCAGGACGTCTACCATGTCCCAGGTATGAAGAAAAATCTTCTATCAGTATCACAACTGACAACTTTGGGAAATTATGTTATTTTTGGACCCAATAACGTCAAGGTGTACGAAAATCCCAAAATTATCGGCACACCGATCATGGAGGGTCGAAAGCTCGAGTCCATCTACGTAATGTCAGCAGAGTCTGCTTATGTAGATAAGACGCGAAAGAATGAAACAGCTGATTTATGGCATGCGAGGCTGGGACATGTAAGCTATCATAAGCTTAAGGTGATAATGAAGAAATCAATGTTGAAGGGCCTTCCTCAACTGGAGATAAGAGATAATACAATATGTGCTGGCTGTCAATATGGTAAAGCACATCAACTACCATTTGAAGATTCAAGCTACAAAGCAAAGAAGCCTCTAGAGACAATTCACTCTGACATATTCGGACCAGTTAAACAACCTTCGATCAGTGGTATGCGCTATATGGTGACATTTATCGACGACTTCTCAAGGTACGTTTGGGTATTCTTTATTAAAGAAAAATCAGAAGCATTCTCAAAGTTTAAAGATTTCAAAGAATCTGTTGAAAGAGAAGTCGGAGATAAAATCCAGTGCCTACGCACGGATAACGGGGGAGAATACACATCAAGAGAGTTCTCCCGGTTTCTGAAAGAGCATAAGATACACCACCAGCTGACGTGTCCAAATACACCTCAGCAAAACGGCATAGCAGAAAGGAAAAATCGGCACTTGGCAGAAACGTGTCGAAGCATGATACATGCAAAGAACGTACCGGCGAGGTTCTGGGCAGAATGTATGAAGACTGCGGCCCACGTGATAAATCGACTACCACAAGCAAAGTTGGGATTTATGTCACCATTCGAAAAGCTATGGAAAATCAAACCAACTGTTAGCCACTTCAGAGTCTTCGGATGCGTTTGTTACGTATTCGTACCAAATCACCTACGGAGCAAATTTGACAAGAAGGCAATCAGATGCATATTCTTGGGATATGACAGCCAAAGAAAAGGGTGGAGATGCTGCGATCCATCAACCGGTCGGTGTTACACATCACGCAACGTGATATTTGACGAAGCATCATCTTGGTGGACACCACAGAAGCTGGAGCTACCAGATTCTAAAGAAATCGAGGATAAACTCCAGAAATGGGTGAATCTTCCAGAAGCAACTCAAAGAATAGAAGAATCAGACGAGGAAGGAGAGTCACCAATAACAACTCAAAGTTCGTGGCAGACTGGCGTACATGAAGTAACTCCAGAAGTGACGAGGCCAACTCAACTCGAGGAAATTGAGCCACCAGCAGAGGAAGGAGACGAAGTACCGACAAGTCCACAACAACTACGGAGATCATCTAGACAAAGGAGGCCAAATCCCAGGTACGCCAATATAGCCTTAGAAGAAGATACAAGTATAAAGGAGCCACAAATATTTGAGGAAGCAATTAAACATAAAGAATGGATAAAAGCGATGAATGAGGAGATTATGGCTCTAAGGCAAAATGAAACATGGAACTTAGTACCCAAACCTGATGGAGTTAAACCCATATCTTGTAAATGGGTCTATAAAATAAAAAGGCGGGCTGACGGATCAATTGAAAGATATAAAGCTCGGCTTGTTGCACGTGGATTCTCACAACAGTACGGGCAAGATTACGACGAGACATTTAGCCCAGTTGCAAAAATCACAACAGTTCGAGTACTTATTGCACTGGCAGCAAGCAAATCCTGGAAATTATGGCAGATGGACGTGAAGAATGCATTTCTACATGGAGAGCTCGACAGAGAAATATACATGGTCCAACCTACGGGGTTCGAGGATAAGGAGAATCCAGGCTACGTGTGCAAACTAAAGAAGGCCCTATACGGGTTAAAGCAAGCACCACGAGCATGGTACGGTAAGATCGCTGAATTCTTGATTCAGTGTGGATATTTTGTTGCACCAGCAGACTCGAATCTCTTCGTGAAGAAACGAGAAAGAAAACTAGCAATAGTGCTAGTATATGTAGATGACATCATCATCACTGGAGACGATGAAGAAGAAATTCAACAAACCAGGAGGAATTTATTAGTGAGATTCCAAATGAAAGAGCTTGGAGAACTTAAGCACTTTTTGGGGCTCGAACTAAAAGAAAAAGGTGACGGTCTTTTACTGTGTCAGTCAAAATATGCTAAAGATCTATTGAAGAAATTTGGCATGATTGACTGCAAGCCTTTATCGATTCCAATCGAATCAAATGCCAAGATATGTGCTCAAGATGGAAAAGATTTGGAGGATGCAACTATGTACAGGCAGCTGGTCGGAAGCCTAATCTACCTAACCCTAACACGGCCAGACATTTCATATGCTGTGGGAATTGCAAGTCGATTCATGGAGAAACCAAAGAAGCCACACCTCGAGTTAGTCCGACGCATACTAAGGTATGTAAAAGGAACTATTGACTATGGACTTTTCTATCAAAGGAATAAAGATATAAAAATTGTTGGCTATTGCGACGCGGACTATGCCGGATGTGGTGATACGAGAAGGTCCACTACTGGATATGTGTTCAAGTTTGGGTCGGCTGCAATATCATGGTGTAGCAAAAGACAACCGACAGTTTCCTTATCAACCGCAGAGGCCGAGTATCGAGCAGCAGCAATGGCGGCTCAGGAGAGCACATGGCTTATGCAATTATTAAAAGATCTACATCAGCCATTTAGCTATGCGGTACAACTATATTGTGATAATCAATCAGCTATACGCATAGCAGAGAATCCCGTATACCACGCGAGAACAAAACATGTCGAAGTTCACTATCACTTCGTTAGAGAAAAGGTGCTCAAAGGGGAGATAGAAATGAAGTACATTGGTACGGAAGATCAAGTAGCTGACGTTTTTACCAAAGGGCTCAATTTTTCAAAATTCGAAGAGTTCCGAACATGTCTTGGAATGGTTCGAGAAGAAAACATAACTCGAGAGAATGTC